AACTACAAATACATAATGAGCCTTCATGATTACATGTTTATTTTTCCTGCAGTGCATCCTGTAGCAGTGGTTCTCAACCGGTGGGGCGGGGCGCGGGTTCAAAAAGGAGGCGCGTATTTGCGCCGGACTGTCCGGTTTTTCAGCCCTGTCCGGCGTCCGGCGCAGCATCAAGCCGGGCGCGTATTTGTCCTCCTTTTTGAGAGCGCAATAGTAACACACCGCGCCCCCCCCCCCCCCCCCCCCCCGCCGGTCGTAGGTCCGCGGTGTGTTACTATTGCGCGCACCACCACCCCCCCCCCCCCCCGTCGGCCGTAGGTCCGCGGTGTGTTACTATTGCCCGGTCCAAGAAACGTTGAATCCTCTGTTCTCCTCAGTTATTTTTCTCTTTTTCCCTTTGGGATCCATGGCCCATCACACAGCCGCCGGTTTGTTTACAACAGCCACCTGCCTGGCGTCCCGCCTGTCGCAGGCTATGACGTAAATCTTCGTTGACAGAAATGTTGAAATTTAATATATATTCTACACATTTTTACAGCATTGAAAAACGTTAATAATGTTTGTGTCATGTTTGTTTTCCTACAGAAACCATATTACAACAAAAAATATATTTCTCTCCCCCATCTTTTTCCATTTTCAAACATTTTTGAAAAAGCTTCAGGGAGCCACTAGGGCGGCGCTAAAGAGCCGCATGCGGCTCCAGAGCCGCTGGTTGCCGACCCCTGACATAGTCACATACACAGTATAAGATGGGGTGAGAAAGGCAATCAATTCACTGTTATAATACGGATCGGTAAGGCATTCACTTTGGTGAGGTGTAACATGGGTGTGGGTCAACCTTTGCGTTGGACGTGTATTCCGTTGCTCCATAGTGCTGAATGTCAAAATAAATTCAACATACCTGGTTTTAACTTCTTATTTCCGCTTTGTGTGTATTGCCTCCACAGTCAAGGGCTTTAGAGTGGATGGAAGGAGATGATTTTAACACAGAGGCTGTGATGAACATCTGTGGTGAGTGTGACATATTTTTAGTTTCAGTTCAAGAGCAGCTGTTGTTGCACCTTTTGAGCTCTGGTCGCCCCAGGCGGAGGATTTCCACAAATGGCGATCACTCTATCCCAACTGTCTATATTTTCATTAACTTTCATTTTAAATCCATCACTAACTCTCCCAATGGAATTCAATGGTTCCAGACTATGGGAAAACAGTTGTTTTAGGATTTCCGACATTGACCGGCTGCCGATCAGAATTGTACAATATTTATTTGATTGGCTATCTCTTTATTAAGAAATGGTCCATATCATTGTCCCCTCTTCAAAAGCTGTTCCCCTAGCAGAGGTGTTTGCTTCTGTGCTGCAGATGATCTGATGGCTGACCAAAGGATGGACATCTCGTCTACCATGACCGACTTCATGTCTTCCGGCTCCACCGACCTCATCTCCAACTCCACCAGCACACCCGGGCTGGACTACACCCGCAAACGGAAGGGGAGCACCACCGACTACCAGTAGGGACACACACACACACACACACACGCACACACATATGCTAATGTTTCGATTGGAGTACTAGGACAAGGGCAGAGCTGAACTGCTCCATTGCTCATAATCTATAGACAGTTTTAGATCAAACTAAGCTTTCTTAGTGTATAAGCTGTAATAAACAAAAAAATGATTACGGTCCGTGTGTGTTGTTAATTGCTCCATGTTCTCTTGCAGGATCGATGGCTTTTCATTTGAGTAAGTTCTAATATGATTATACTGGTTGACCATAATTTCAATGATGAATAATAAATACATTTGCATATGATCAGATTTTCTTTTAAACATATTCCAACTTATTTTATTCCTCAACTTATTTTATTCCTTTATCTCCTTAGTGACATGGACCCTGACAAGGATAAAATGGGAAGGTAAGAGTCCTGTTTGTGATTAAAAATAAAAGCTTCTGTTGTGATTACCGGTCAGCGTGTCATCGTCTTTCCCACATGACATTCCATACACTGTGTACTCGGTTGTCCTCAGAGTTCCCCCCACACTACAGGATATTGGATCGTAAATATTGAACATGTTTAATATTTGAAATCGGTGCGGCCCGATTGGATTTGGGGAAGTAAAAAACAATCTTAACATACCCCCACACTATAGCATAATCTGGTAAAATCATTAGAACCATAAAAAAATCGGGGCTTTGCTGACCAGAGTCAGAAGGGAGAAATCGGGTACAATATCGGGCTAATTATCCTGTAGTGTGTACCCAGATTTAAGCCAATAAATAGCTGAAAATGCTAAAAACACATTAAAAATGGGTCTTTAAGAGAGTTGAGCTAGATTTTGCAGTTTAGATTTCTTCCAATCTCATAATTTAGAGGCCCCAACAGGCCTTATTGCCTGATCCCCTTTCATAATACATGGATGAGAAGCTCACTCATGGATCTCAGCCAACATTCAGGCTCATAAGGCGTAATACATCTGATTCATCATCTGGCTATTGTCAGAGATGATCTTTAAAGGTCTAGCCTATTCAATGTTCCCTTTAATGGCGTAATATGCTCATATTTCTAAACCCATGACTTACTCTCGCAGCAGCACTTTGTTCTATGGTCTAGCTGAAGGTGTAGTGTTAGTTTGTGTGAGTAAACCAGGAATATGGTTGTCAAGAGGGTAGATGAATTACTCGAGTCAATGGAGGGGACAGGAATGATTAGTTTTTTATTGTTATGAGTAGGGATGTCAGATATTATCGGCCCACCGATATTATCGGCCGATATTGGCATAAAAAATCAATATCGGAAAATATCGGTATCGGTTTTTTAAAAAGCTCAAAATGACTAAAGTGGCCTATGGCATGTTATACCTTGTTGGAAAGCTCTAATTGTCCTGAGTCGAATGCAAGCGACCATTTTCTGTTAATACAAAGACAGTGTGAAATAAAGAAACACTTTGTTTGAAATAATTTCAGACATCTGTTATGTTTCAAGTGAGGACGTGGTTTGATGACATCATCAAACGCGCAGCGCCGTCTCAATAACAAGCCTGGGCATGTGCAGCCGTGTAGTGGGACGCTAGTTGTAGCTGTAGTTATGTCGGTGGTTTGGATTTATTTCAAAGTTTGGAATTATTTCAAAGTTTCCGCATATATCGGTATCGGTATCGGTTGATATCGGTATCGGAAATTAAGAGTTGGACAATATCGGTTATCGGTAAAAAAGCCAATATCGGACATCCCTAGTTCTGAGCTGTAAAAGGCATGATGATACACCTTATATATATATATATATATATATATATATATATATATATTAGAGATGGGCATAGATTAAAATCTTTAATCTAGATTAATCTAATGGTAATCTTGAAATTAATCTAGGTTAATCTAGATTAAGGTGGCTCCTTTGAATGATGTCGAAGGTGTCCATAATATGTATTTGCTACCTGAATAATGACATATATTGCCTAAATAATGAATAAAAGTGGGTCTGCGCGATTGTTGAGCGGGGGGGGGTGCTACCAGAGCTTTTTCTTGAACGGGGGGGGCTACCGGAGTCTTTTGTTGAGTGGGGGGGGGGGTGCTACCGGAGGATTCCGGTTCGCGATAATATCGGCGATAAAAATATTGTCGCCGATAAAAGTTCCGCGTTATCGCAGTGCGGTAACGCCGATAACGGCCCATCACTAATATATATATATATATATATACACTCACCGGCCACTTTATTAGGTACACCTTGCTAGTACCGGGTTGGACCCCCTTTTGCCTTCAGAACTGCCTTAATCCTTCGTGGCACAGATTCAACAAGGTACTGGAAACATTCCTCAGAGAGTTTGGTCCATATTGACATGATAGCATCACGCAGTTACTGCAGATTTGTCGGCTGCACATCCATGATGCGAATCTCCCGTTCCACCACATCCCAAAGGTGCTCTATTGGATTGAGATCTGGTGACTGTGGAGGCCATTTGAGTACAGTGAACTCATTGTCATGTTCAAGAAACCAGTCTGAGATGATTCGCGCTTTATGACATGGCGCGTTATCCTGCTGGAAGTAGCCATCAGAAGATGGGTACACTGTGGTCATAAAGGGATGGACATGGTCAGCAACAATACTCAGGTAGTCTGTGGCTTTGACACGATGCTCAATTGGTACTAATAAGCCCAAAGTGTGCCAGGAAAATATCCCCCACACCATTACACCACCACCACCAGCCTGAACTGTTGATACAAGGCAGGATGGATCCATGCTTTCATGTTGTTGACGCCAAATTCTGACCCTACCATCCGAATGTCGCAGCAGAAATCGAGACTCATCAGACCAGGCAACGTTTTTCCAATCTTCGATTGTCCAATTTTGGTGAGCCTGTGCGAATTGTAGCCTCAGTTTCCTGTTCTTAGCTGACAGGAGTGGCACCCGGTGTGGTCTTCTGCTGCTGTAGCCCATCCGCCTCAAGGTTCGACGTGTTGTGCGTTCAGAGATGCTCTTCTGCATACCTCTGTTGTAACGAGTGGTTATTTGAGTTACAGTTGCCTTTCTATCAGCTCGAACCAGTCTGGCCATTCTCCTCTGACCTCTAGCATCAACAAGGCATTTGCGCCCACAGAACTGCCGCTCACTGGATATTTTCTCTTTTTCGGACCATTCTCTGTAAACCCTAGAGATGGTTGTGCGTGAAAATCCCAGTAGATCAGCAGTCTCTGAAATACTCAGACCAGCCCGTCTGGCACCAACAACCATGCCACATTCAAAGTCACTTAAATCACCTTTCTTCCCCATTCTGATGCTCGGTTTGAACTGCAGCAGATCGTCCTGACCATGTCTACATGCCTAAATGCATTGAGTTGCTGCCATGTGATTGGCTGATTAGAAATTTGCGTTAACGAGCAGTTGGACAGGTGTACCTAATAAAGTGGCCGGTGAGTGTATATATATGTATGTATGCCATTTTGTGGATGATTCTGTCCAAAGTGTCTTACAATACCATGAGTGCATACATTTTTAGCATGGGTGGTCCCAGTGGGAATTGAACTCCTATCCCTGGCAACGTTAATGCCATGCTCTACCTGTTGAGCTGGTCAGGCCCACCTTCTTAGGGTTTGTTCCTAGTCTAATATGGCTTATTCATGTAATTGCGGGTGTCATTGGCATCACATTTGTACTCTTAAGTCACATTTCCATTGCATCACTGGTGTTGCAGCTAAATTTAGCCTCAAGCCGTACCCTGTTGCATAAGCATTGTTCATTCAACAAGCATAGTTCCAAGAGAGCGAGGCGTTTTGTACCTTTTCTCTGACCTAGTTTCTTCTCGTTCGCCCTTTGCCAAACCTCTGCCCCTCCCTTGACCTTTCTTTACCTAATACTGCCGCTGTGCTAGACTGCTTGTGTAATAGTCTTGTGTTACTACCTGGGTACGAATCTCGGTAACACTCCTCCTGTAATCCTTCTCTTTCTGTTTCTCTCCAGTGACCCACATGGCCGGATAAAGAATGCCAGGTAATTTGTGTGTGTGGGTGGCAGAACTGCAGTAGCCTTGACTTATGTATTTGTACACCTTGGTGAGACAATTACTTGTACTACTATTGCACGTGTCAATGTCATGAGACCATAAAAGAAGGACGATGAAAGGGAATAGATCAGAGCATAGCTAATGGCTAACAGTAAAAGAAGCTGCAATGACAGCTGTCTAACAGGGTAGATAGGTTGGACTTGTGCAAAGGAAAACACTTAACACTCCCTCCCAGCTCCTTTTTATATGCACCCAATATGAGCTCAAAGTAGGAAAAGCAACGATATCTCCTACCACAACTATGCAGATGACACTGAAATCTATATCAATGCTAAGATCACTGCACTGGCCTCCTGTTGGCCAGACAATTGAGTTCAAAATACTACTAATAGTTTATAAAGCACTGAACAGTTCAGGACCAAAAAACATCTGCTCTGCTTGTGTGTTAGGAGCCCACTAGAGCTCTCAGGTCACCAGAGACCATAAATAAACGTGCCTTGCCTCGATCCTCCCATGCCTGTTCCCACAGGGAGGCCCACAGTCAGATCGAGAAGCGGAGGCGGGACAAGATGAACAGCTTCATCGATGAACTGGCGTCATTGGTGCCCACCTGCAACGCCATGTCCAGGAAGCTGGACAAGCTGACCGTCCTGCGCATGGCCGTGCAGCACATGAAGACCTTACGGGGTAAGGGAGAGCCAGGATCAGTTAAACCATTGCAACTGTTGAAGGACTTTTAACATTGTGACGGATAGCGGGATACATGAGGTGACTCGTGGATGTTTAAGGAGGAACTAAATTACCCATACATACTGTACTTATTGGGTAGAACGAGAGCTTGTAGCATGGCAGCAGGTAATAGCGGCAGGTACTAGCTTGAGTGACACATCCCTTTGTCCTTGTAGGTGCAGCCAACCCTTACACAGAAGCCAACTACAAACCCTCATTCCTGACAGATGACGAACTGAAGCATTTGATTCTAAGGGTGAGTGCTGTGGTTAAAGGCAGTGAAAGTGAGGGGACAGTGTTGTTGAACAAAAGGAAACGATGTATTGCCAGGGCTTGACTCATGTATCACAATCATAACAACGATTCTATTTGATTTTTTTATCATGAGGAGAATACAACATCTGCGGGGGTTGATTTTATGTATTTAGGCTGCAGATGGTTTCCTGTTTGTGGTTGGATGTGACCGTGGAAAGATTCTCTTTGTCTCCGAGTCTGTCTACAAGATTCTCAACTACAGCCAGGTAAGGGTTTGTTCTAAACTTATGACGTGATGTTGTAATGTCCAGTTAACCTCTTCGTCACTAGACCTATTTCTCAGGTTTTTGCCGAAAATAACATACCCAAACTGAACAGACTATATCTCCAAAACTACAAGGGCTTTTAAGTTCATCTTGGTAGCAAAAGAAAGATAACACCTGTGCGATAATCAATGTGGATGCTACTGGATCAGAGTGAATAAAGCTAGAACACAGAATAAATTATTTAATTTCCGCCTGAAATAAATGTTATGTCATGTTTTAGTGTGAATAACACCTAGTGCGTTATCAGTTAGTAGCCCTATAGCGCTATAGGGCCATAGCACAACATCTGATGAGGGCCTGGGTCAGGATTTGATGGCAATAAAGTGAAGTAGAGCAAAGATAGAGGTTTTAGTAGAGATAGTTTTAGGCAGAGTTTCCAAATCAAAACAATAAATCCAATGCAAACCAATGCACAAATGACAACGATGAGACATAGACAGGTGAATATCTTGTGAACCCATTGTTCAATTTTAACATTTGACCCCTCTATTGAAAGGTTAGGGACAATAGAATTGAGGCTAAACCATCGCAATACGGCCACCAGATAGCAATAAAGACAGTGTGTTCTGATTGAAGGCAGTGGACCTATTTCCTGTGAAACCCTCTCTTACCTACTATACATGATTGTAAACATGATTGGGAGGGTTCAAAATGTTACCCAGACACTGGATTATCTGTTTATGGTGGTTTTAAGTGATCAAACACAACTTTGATGACAAAAACAACAAATGTAAGACATAATTTGTGATTGCTACTAGAAAAAGAGAAGTTTGTTCTTGATGGTTTTTGGCCTCTAGTTCAGTGAGTTTTGGGCTGTTGGAATCAGCAGATTCTCAGCTTTCATATGATGTATATTTTGTGTCAATAACATGTTGGAAAAAGATCGCTATTGCTGTGCATTTGCATACGCACAGTTATGAAATACATAACTCTTGTTTTTACTTGCTCATTCTTTTGGGGTTGGAATTGTGTTTCATTCAGCTAAAAATGGTTATAATAGACAAAAAGTTGAGATTCTTATCATTCTAGGGGTGTATGACATGACTGCTTTCTCACATGTTTAAATGCCTTACGAAGTCTTTGATTTCGGGAGGGGGCGTGTCTGTCGAGAGGGGGGCGTGTCTGTCGAGAGGGGGGGGTGTCTGTTGAGAGAGGGGGCGTGTCTGTCGAGACCACCCATATACGGGTGGTCTCGAGATGAAAAGGTTAACTAAAACTTAATTTGCCCTGTCACATTTGGTCAATGCATAACCCCACACAGCAACAGCAAGTCAAACAGTTCATATTGATTATTTTACTAAATGAACGTTCATCCCTCTAACTAATTATAGATCAGTCTATTAACTATCCTCATTTATACAACATGATTAATACACACAGGAGTGCATCTTTGCCCGAGCAACCTTTCAAACATGCCAGTGGTGAAACAGGGGAGCACTTTAAACAGGTGCACCTATATGTGCACCATGTAAATAGTCCTACAGGGAACACCGGAGCAACACGGCTCCCCTAGGGCCTGCAATAATACAATGTTAATGGTGATAAGAAATCATAAATTATAAGGTAAACCTCCCCCAACTCTTGCATTTACATCTTCTCTTCCTCACCTCCTGCGCTGCCCTCTGCAGAACGACCTGATAGGCCAGAGTCTGTTCGACTACCTTCACCCCAAGGACATCGCCAAGGTCAAGGAGCAGCTGTCCTCCTCTGACACGGCCCCACGCGAGAGGCTCATCGACGCTAAAAGTAAAAACGACAGCACGGATGACGCATGTGTCTGACGCACCGCCGTCCGTGTCCTTGTGTGTGTGTGTGTGTGTGCGCATGCAAATATTTGACAGAACAAAACAAAAACACAGCATTCAAATGTGTGTACCATAGCCGTAGCTCGGAGTAGTACGTCGCTTGTTTATTTGAATACGCACTAGATGACTTTGGTTTAAGATTAACAGTTTAAAACGAGTTAAAGCTTAACAGGAGAGGAGGACTGACCGTGAGAAGAGACACTTCAATCATTTGTCCACCTAATAGCTTTGTGTTTGGTTTGTGCGTTCCAGCGGGTCTGCCGGTGAAGACGGACATCGCCCCAAGTCCATCCAGGCTCTGCTCCGGCGCCAGACGCTCCTTCTTTTGCCGGATGAAGTGTAACAGGCCCTCAGTTAAAATAGAGGACAAAGACTTCCCTTCCACTTGCTCAAAAAAGAAAGGTACCGCCCCCGATTCTCCCCTCTCTCACTCACACACACACACACACACACACACACACACACACACACACACACACACACACACACACACACACACACACACACACACACACACACACACCAACCAACCATCTTCTTTGCCAACTATGTGCATATTTTCAATAATGTTGCTGGATTTGGGTTCGGCACTGATCATTGTTGTCGTTTTAGGGCTGCACGATTAAACAAAAATTATAATTGCGATTATTTTGCCCGATTTTGTGATTGTGATCATTCATTGTGATTAACAGATTAATAATCGATGTGTATAAAAAAAAATAATAATAAAGCAATTGAGTTGTTTGTAATTTGATTTTAATGTAACCGGTGTATACAATCAGATTAATTCATGTTCGATCATTTGTCAAATTTTTAATGTAATTGAATTACAACCTTTCACGATTAGCTAATTGCAGAGGTAAAAATTGCAGCCCTTGTTTTCACATTAACATTCTTTCTGGTAAAGATGTTTGTTGCTATGATGCACCCAACTTCTCCTTTGGACTGTGAGCCATTTGCGTCACGCACCCCTGAAGTTCTCTGGTTGTCATTCTGCAGTTCTACATATTGAAGTCATAGCTTTTGAGTTTAGCTCTTGTCTGTATGTCATCATCCACTGAAAGCCCTTTGCCTCTGATTGAGCATTTCAAGAAAGATTGTATTTATATCCCTCTGTGTTCCACTATGTTCAGTGGAGCATCCTTAGGATGTACAGTTCAGTAAGCACCGGAGAGTAGCCCTTATAAAAGCACCAAGGAAGTACACTCACTTACACTTACATTTCCTTTTTAAACCTAGCACTATTGCTTCCCAGACCGTAAAAGGCCCTCTATACGTCTGGAACTTGTCCCTATATAGTCCACAATCACTCATAATTTGTGGGGTACTACTGTATGTACGGGTGTACATGTATTCAAAATACTTTGAACATTGCCAGTTGTCCTCTTAGTTAGTGCAGCTCCAGGGCTTGTCAGCTCTACTTTATGAGGCTTTAGGACAGAGCGTGTCCCACGGCTTCCAG